CACCACCTACTGTATAGGGGTGTAGTGTGTAATTTTACAGAATGTTGGCAGAGCAGAATAAATGCAAACCTCACAAACACATCCAAACAAAGTAACTAACTAAAGCCTTTAGATAATTGTAGTGGAACTTTTCCAAAAAAGTGCTATTTAAGTACAAATTATCCAAACTTACATGTTACTGTCTACCTCTGGTAATATGAAGGCGGTTTGGCTACAAGTGGGCAGACGCTCAACAAAACCCAATATCTTATTATAAATGTGCAGGGAAATCCTTGTATTTGAAGAAAAAATCATGTAAAGTACAACAAGACAATAAAGGCTGATAAAGAGATCAAACCCTGAAGATGTGCAAGTTTAAATTACTTCAGTAAATATTAAATCATTTATTGTTGGCCAGTTAAGATCTGCTGAACATTTCTGGAAAAAAGCAGAACTCGTAACACTTTAAAGCTTGTATTAGAGATAAGGATGCTGCYGAAAAGCCTTTGTAGGAGATTCACACTGTCGTCATGCAGTGGTTCATGGAAAATAAAAAAAWWAAAAATACCCGTCATTTGTTTGAATTGATAAAAGTTGCTACCTGCAAATGAGTCACGGATAAAATGTTCTTCTTTTCCAATATAATATATCAGCGTAGATACTGCTATCAACATTTTTTAAAATATTTAATAATATTATGATAATTTTGAGGCAGTATCTCCAGCATTAATATCAGCCTGCACATTGTCTTACCTARCCATTTCTTCACCTATCCATTTAGTTTTTCCATTCTTTTCTCTGTCCAACCCCCACAATTTATTCAAAGGTTAATATAATACAGCAGATATTTTAATGAGKATAGAGCAGTCATACCAAAGCTGGTCTTCCAGGAAGTGTTATAAAAAGAAAACTACCCAAATAGCTGCCATATAGCTGATGCATTTTCATTCGTATTCTCTCCACAGACACAATTCCTCCACTGGTTGGCTGCAACACTTAACCTCTCAGACTCTTAATGGCCGCTGAGGTGAGGACAGGAAGAGGATGCTTGCAGTTAATCTCACACACACAATTTGGCTCCCAAAGAGCAAAACCTGATGACTTTACCGTCATTAAACAAGACCTCGCTAAGCCAAATGTGCACCGATTTGTTCTTAAATTGAAGGTGATTTCTCAAGCTGGCACCTAGAGATTGAGCTCGGGTACGTGTTTGTGCTGAGCTGAATAATAAATGCTCCCACTCTTTGTTTGGTGATAGTTAGCGCACGGCCGTTTGCAGTCACGGTGTGCTTCGCATGCTGTGACAAAGAGAGTGAACACATAAAACTGCTCTTCAGAGCTGGATATGTAAATAGGGCAGGTTTGCATTGTGACCTGAATTCTGCCTTTAAATTGTTTATAGCAAAGACAGACATGTGCAGCAACATTCAGTGATTAACATAAAATCCTTCTGCTTTGAGACTAAACAAAGTGACGGGTTGGAGTCTTTYACCCGCGCTCACCTCGTACACATTTAGCTGGCTCTGGCCCCTGCAGAGCTCTTTGTAGCTTGTGGTGAATTCACCAATGAAGTCATGGCTGTTAGAGGGAACAGAAAAGTGTGTCACATAGATTATTCAGGTACAGTCAGCCTAAACTTAAATATGGAAACTACAGCGCAACATAGACCAACACAAAAGCATTTCCGTTACTTTGGATTTATTTAATCTGACTTGTGAAATAACTTAATAACTAAAAATTGAGCTGATAAAGGGACAAGACATGACAAAGTTTAATAACTTTTTAATGAGTTCAGATTCATCATTACCTCCCGTCTCTGTCCCAGTCGTACACTTCTATCTTGATTGTTCTGGTGAAAACATCAAAMCAAGACAAAAAGAATAGTTTGGGTGCATTCAGACACAGAATGACAACATATTTTTTTAATTAAATAATGCAAAACAAGCTAAAGCAGCTCATTTCATATTAAGAAAACCTAAATTACTAAAAAAAAATCAGACAATCTACTGGATGGATGCTTGTGGTGTTTAGTGGTACACATTTCAGAATCAGCATCAGAATTTTATTGGTCGTTGTACATTTTAGAGGAAACAACCCATTCAAGAGAGAAACAAACAAGGAATCACAAACAGGGGGACAGGTGCCTGGGGCTGCAGCCATAGGAAGGTGCTGCCCTTTTCAATTGAAAAAAAAATAACCAATATCAGGTGAGGAAGAAAAGGAACATCTCACRCTATGTCCTCCCATTTTCCTAATAACTGATTAATGGTTGCAAAACTGTCCACAATTTAATGTTTATTATTAACAACTTAAAGTTTAACAAAAAACTAAACAAAACCAGTGTGCAAAATGTATTTGATTTTTGTGTGTTTCATCTAAAAAGCAGTTATTTAGAGCATGTCAATGCAATTTTATAAAAATTGTTAAAAATAGGAACTGAGGAATTGCTTTAGATTCCAAATAAATAAAACAATTTTTTAAGAACCAAACATGGAAAACAAACCATTTGGGTTAAGTTAAAAACTTGTGAAATAAATTCAAATAAAAACAAACATTTAAGCCTAAAAGAAGTTAGTAGGAGTGAAGAAAGTGCCTTTTTTTTTCATTTGAACTGGATGAAATTTTTAAAARCGGTCTGTCAACCTCCCCCTCTCATCAGCTGCTGTCAGTCATGTTTGAATAGGTGGAGCAGGAGGCAGGAATGTTGGACGGCTGCCTTGTTAATTCTGACCTGAACTCAGTCTGTCTGCATGCTTTACCAAACCTTAAAAACATGTTCAGTTCGAGCAGTGGCAATGTTTCTATTGTGCTTTTCTGCTCTAATTACTGTATGTTCCCATTTAATTTGAAAAAGGACATATACCTAATCCAAATATTCAGAATGAGCAGGGGGATTTTTTTTCTGCTAGGCAAAATAAAACATGTTTGGGTTAAAATGACATCTAAACATAATCTCACAAATACTAAAATCCTGTGAAGATTGATCTAAATGTAAAAGTTTTGTTGACACCTAAAACAAGACTTTGTATCCTCCTCCTGTATGCTAATGTTATTAGTATTTTTCTGTAAATCTAGTAATGACAGAAATTAATTGCCCTTTATAAAACAAGGCTGTACTTTGGGCCTCTAATAGAGCTAACCAACCACACAAAGATGCTACCGATATCACTTACAATCTTAAGTTGTGACGTTCAAGATAAATTTACCTCTTTATGTTTATTGTTTATTCTTATTTGTCAATAAAATATAAATGTTAAAATATATTGCCATGTTAAGAATGAGTTACTGTCTCATACTGCAACACACTTTATGTTTAGTCTCAATCTTTAAATCAGTTTCATTTTTAAATTGGAGCAGAAATAAGAGACACTTTATTTTCTGATCACTAACGAAGCCTGACGAATACAAGAGTTTATTAGATTCACACAAGAAAGGATGAAAGACGTGATTGCAGCGAGACAATAGGCTGGTTATCCTTCTCCTCCTCCTCAAAACCCTCTTTATCATCATCATCCGTGTCACTGTCCTCATAATCATTTTTTCTAGAGATTATTTAAAAAATGTGTGCAAAAATTAATTATGAAGGGATGAATGTGAGCCCCTTTAATGCTGCAGCTTCAGCCATTCTGTCAGTGTGTGCCAAGTTAAAATGTATATTACTAATCATAGTTTAAAATGGGTGGAATAAAACCATCAATCCAAGCGCAGTAACATTTTAAACTGAATTTAAATTTGCCATGACTCTAATTGGAAAAAAAATAAAGCATTAAAAGCGCAGCAGAACAAACTATCAATGTTTCACAAGAAAAGTGGAGAGACCATAAATTGCTGGGAATTTTTTTTTCTTATTCCTATAAATCCTCAAAGGGAATCAGGCGTCTTTCATGCTTCTGCTCCATCTGTCTGACCCAATTAACTTCTGCGGGCAGGTGAGCAGAGGCAGGATCGAAGGCAGGAACCGTCTCTGACACCTGCTGTGGAGGAGAGGGCAGCGGTTTTTACATGTTTCCCTTCACTCTCATGAATACCTGCATCCACACGCTTCATGGAACGTGTGCACTCAGACAAACACAGTCAGCCTCATCTGCTTATTCCAGCCAACTGTCAACATCTATCGAGCGACGAGTACACCCCCCCACCCCCCACCCCCTCACAATCTTTGTTTATCTTCTTATTTTCTATTTTCCTGCCAAAACTCTTTCGGCTCTTCGGATGTCTTCCGAGGCTCTTTGTTCTAAAAAAGGAGCAGATAAGATAGGGGGATGCCGCTGCCAATCAGAAAGATGAAATGCTCTGAAAGGGTTCTTGCCGTTTGCAGACAAATCAATGAGCAGCTGGGGAAGACAGCATGTGGTCAGAGACGGGCCTGTGGTAATTAACAGGTTTTATGAGGACAGCAGATGACACATTAATGAAGAAAATCAATTATTTTGGGGTTTAATGCTCACAACTCACTTTGTTAATAAGTAATAAGATTATGGCTATTCAACTGGTGGACCGTGAGCCACATCTGGCCYGCCAGTTTGCATGTATGCAAACACACTGGGCAATCTTGCAAATTTTTTCAAAAACTTTCCTTTAAAATTTACTTGTCTCAGAGCCAGCARGCTGTAAGGAAATATGTTTGACACCTCCTCATCCTTCCCTCCCTGCTCCTCTGCCACTGCAGACACTGTTATCTCCGCCCCCACATCCTCTCTCCGCAGCCAACAGTCTGCTTGTCCCAAGAGACCCGAGAGTGCCATGAATTTTTTGTGAAAATTATAGATTTCTGAGGGTCAAGATACAGGTGAATGTCTTTTTTAATTATGTCATCATTTGCTGCTCGATCCTTTAATTTAAGTTGTGTAGTGGTGTGTGTGTGTGTGTTGGGGGTGGGGGTGGTATTTAGCTTGTAATGGAACTAATACTAAATCTATTTTTTTAGCATTTTGTCATGTTATAATGTCATTCCTTCATCAAAAACATACCCAGGGTGTTGTTGGTTCTTTTTACTTTGCTGGAGAACATGTTGTTTAATTAGTGATTCGGCTTACAACTGACTTTGGCACATAATATTATATTTTATGTTTGTTGATACAATGGAGAATTTTGTCATTAAAATAGACACAATGATTGTTGTAACAATGACATATTTTAATACACAGATATTTTCTCAGTTGTGTATTTTTTAAGAACATAATGCATTGGAAAACATCAACGTAGAGACTGCTACTGTTGTAGTAAAAAACAAAAATAAACTGAGAAAACCTAAAATTATGAGTTTCTTTGCCAGTTCAACTCATATCTTATCACTTGAAACTACCCCTAACACTTTGTCTGCTCTTTTTGTAATATCACAAAAAGAACGGGGACCCTGGTGTGAACACTAAAAATACAAAAGTCAGGAGAGTTTCAGATAAACACTCTAACCTCCTGGGACCTGGAGCCACATGCAATGCAAGAGGATAAAGGGAGGTTAAACAATGGTTCGTGAGTTTTGTTGTAAAGTAATTTATTAATGTATTTTTTTCTGTTTGTAGTATTTTACTGTCAAACCATTGACAAAATTGTACATTTTGGTGTTTTTCTGACACCTTATATTTGGTATTATCGTCATTTTTTTCTTTTTAATAGGTTTTGCATAAGTTTTTTTGTATTGCAAACATGTGAACCTGCAACCAATTACAATGAATTAGCTCTTTGAGCAGGTTTCTCTTTTCACAGAATGAATGTTTTAACCTTTTAAGGGTCATGGGAAAACTCAAAATCCACAAGTAGGAATGAAAATAAGATTCAGCCTTAATTACACAGGATCAGATAACCTTACCTGTCATAGTCCCCRTTGCAAAGTGCTCTGACAGGAATGGAAAAGGGCTCCCACACAGGGTTCAAAGTGTTCTTCACCACCTCAGTCTTGTGACAGATGGTGAACCTGGAGCAGAAGATCAACAAGGATTTGAAATCTTGTATATATATTAAAAAAACATTAATCTTCAAAATTAAACCAAAAGAAAGGAATCTTTCCACAGCAGCTCTGCTTTGGGACCATGTCTGGATGACTAAATCATTATGCAGCTGAGTTCAAGGTGTCTCRGTTTAATTCTTTCACACTTGGTGACCTTCATTTCAGATCTTAGCACACACACAAATCTGGCTTTATTTGCCCACAGAGAAACAGAATCAATAGACAAACTCACGTGCCGTCCTCGTTACTTCTGTAAAACACCATGAAGGGGTCCGACTTTCCAAAGAAGTCTTTTTTATCCAGTTTGTTGGCACAGAACTGCATGGAGGCGTAATCCTACAAAAGGAAAACCCAGAGTTAAAGAACAGAAAAGCAAGAAAAGGAAGAAGACATAGTAAGCCCATGCTCCTGCCTATGTTGTGTTTCCTGTTATTTGTTTGTACACGCTGCTTGCCAAGGTATAAAAGCACTGAAGCACTAAATAATGGGAAAGTGCTGACAGAATCCCAGTATGAGCAGCGCAACAACAACCACAGGGCACTAGTTTCCAAAATTTGCAAATGCATTCGTTACCACTTTTTGTTTTTCAGCACTTGCGTTAGAAATTCAGTACCTTTCATGTGCTGAATATAATAACAGTAACAATGTGAGGCCCACTGCAGCCGACACAAGTGACTTGTAAAACCTYGTAGCGAGTGGGTTGGGTGCTGTCTGTGGAAAGGTGATTGCAGCTATCAACGTATTAGAAAAAAACAGGTTAGGCACCATTTCAGTGTTCACCGGTGTATCAAGGACTGTGTCCAGACTCTTTAATGTTTTTGAATCCAAATGGTCTTCCTGTGGTTAGACTGCATTTCATAATGATGGGGCTGCAAAGTCACTGAACAGTTAAACGTACATGCCAGAAAACGGTCTTCATCACTGACGGTCTTCACATCAGAGCCACATGAGCTTTGTATAACATGTGTTCAGCTTGAAACATGCTGCTTATGCAAATCGAGTGTCCAATCATTGGTTCTTTGAGTGTGAGCCAGAGAGAAGACATTTRAACTGAAGGCAAAAAGAGAGGGGCTGTTTTTACCCTGCGAGTACCCGGGCTTTTAGAKTTTGAAGTGCTACTATTTGATCTGAATCAGCAATGTGCCGAGCACGGCCTCTATTGATTGCTTTGACCCACATCAGTGTGGCACTCCCTGCCTGCGATCTACCTCTCACTAACCCCCATCACATCACCATATGCTTTGGACTCAGACAGAGTGCAAACCTGCCTCTGTTGAAGCATTTGCAGAGAGAAAAATGGATGCCTGTGACGTATGACAATGCGAAGATATCCTTCTGAAAGTTAATATCCGCTATTTTGTTCTTTTCCGACATTGCTGGTAATTGTTTATTCAACATAACTGAAATGTGGAAATAAAAAAAAAAACATTGCAAAGCTCATTAAAACAATCAGTGTTGAAATGTTCCATATCTACTTTCATTTTCTCGTGTCATTTTCAATYATTATTCGTGGTTTTTAACAATAAAAGTGGGGAGCGCACTAATTGAAACCTGTCTTTTTCCAGCGGGGCACAGATTTAACTGTTTTAGAGAAATCCTCTGAGCATTTTGAACCAAAAATGAGTCAAGCTCTCCCTCGGTGGCTTTTCACAAGAAGACCTAATTTCCCAAGTTCCCACTTGGTCGATTTGAACAAATAACGCAACGTGTTCAAAGAATTTGCTTATGTCATTTATCAAAGCCCTTTAGAACCATCCTCTACAACCGCCCTGCACAACCCTGACGCAGCCTCCACAATTACACTATCATGCCTTAAACCCTCATTAGGCACAGATAACATATACCCACTCTGGTGCCATGCAGTGTTGTCTCATTAAGGGAGGAAAAGGCAGAACATTCATTTCAGCTACTGAGGTTTAGCAGCAGCAGGGGAATACAGAGTGCAGTCTGCATCCTTTCTCTGCTTTATCGAGATAGCGCGGCATGGGGGTAAGTGGCAGAGCAATGCACACTGTCACTTCCACAGAGTGGGTCGGGTCTGTCAAAGGGCTACAAAGCAAGCCAGACAATACCTGGATTCTTGTTACATAAGCCTCTATGCCATAGAGTCTATGGCATCTTCAGGATTGCACACTGTTGTGAATCACCAAGTGAATCATGTGCCAAAGGATTCTATGGACATTAACTCATCTCCTTTGTGTGTTTTACGCATCACTCCATTCATTCTGGTGTTTGTGTCGATGATAAGACTGAGGCAATGCATGCCTGTGCTTGTTTTATGAATTAAATAAAACAGAATTACAACAAAGATAAATTTCATGTTTTAGAAGAATGCACAACGTAATTTGAAACATAAATAGAAATTAGAATGTTGAATAAATGATTCATAAAAATATAATTTCTCATTTAGACAAAAACTAAAGGTATAACAAATGACAAAAAATATTTAGAATTCTTAGTCCCCTTTGTGGTACATTTGTGATTTGGGGCTTTAATTTTAAAAAAYGGCTTAGTTTGACTTAATTGTGCATTATTAAATAATGTCCCGGTACTCAGTGTGCTGCCATGTGTGAAGTAGTTACCCTGAAACCAGCTACAGCAGCAGTTAGACCAGGAGTAAAATCTGAAAATAAGCCAGCCCCTGCACAGCAGCCATATGTGCCAAAGATAACGACAGCCAAGAGGAAGCTTTTGATCCATCCAAAGGCTCCTGCTCTATTCAAGGATACCTGGCAAATCCATCAAGAAGGTGAGAGCCAATCCTGCAGARCCTACCCTGTTGATTCCTCCTCTGCTGGTCTCACGTTCCCCAAACGAGACACACAGTGTTTACCCTGAGGCGAAGCAGCACCTGAGCTGCCTCTGACTATTGGTCACAGGTGGATTGTAAAATAAACACCATCCAGATGGATTGTAGCGCTTCTAAACCATTAGAATTTACAGACGTGGGATGCTGCYGACAGCAATCTTCACAGTTTTTGTTCTTTGTTTTATGTGTACAATGTTTTCCACAGCCWGAGGCATTGCCATTTAGGGTTAAAATTCTGTGCAAACACTGTAAGTCTGAAGTGACATGTCCTCCTGTCTGTAATTGACCAGAAGCATGGAAACAGTCATTTGTACCAGTAATGATCATTTGCATTTATATTACTAAATCGCTTCTTGAAGTGGTGCTTTGCACCGATGTTGCTGACTCCTATTAACTCATAAGCAACACACCTGATGACTCACAGCAGCCCATCATGACGATGAGCACTGACACTTCAGTCCAGCACGGCAGAATCAGCAATGGTTATCATGGCAGGTTCATTATCAGCACGGCTGATCTGCTGCAGTCTAAGAACAGACTGTTAATTTAAAACAAAAAGGTCCGGTCACAGATAACTACTGTCAGTTTAGATTAAAGTGCACAAGGAATAAGCAAAGCCTTGGATGTATAGGCCACGGCAGGTTTTAGGACATAAAACATGAACACGGAGCCTTGATGGCTTACTCTACAACTTTGGAGAGAGGCCAGTTGTTCTGGTCAGTACATCTAGCTGCTCTCTCCTGCTCAACTGGCAGCACTATAATGTGGTTATTTACTCTCTTTATTTAGCAGTGTGGGGAGAAAGCCAATGAGCATTAGTGGACACAGGTTATTAATGTCAACTCATGAATTAAAGCGCCCCACATGAGCGCAAAAGTCTGATTTAGTGAGTAGAATGACTGCGGTCCCATTAAATAGACATTCAAATTCATAGCTTTTTCAGCATGTACACAACTTCTAAATGACAGCACATTTGCTTGGTAACACAGCATATCCTGCTTGTTTAACGAGGACGTTTATGATTCAATACATCTCACTGACAAGAAGGATATAAAACCTCCCACTTCACTGAAGTAGACATGTGAGCAGTGCTAAATGAGCGTTTTGCACCAGTTAATATGTCCAGTAAAGCTCCGGTGCACCATTGCTTTGGTGGTAAGAACAAATCAGATCAGTTGAACACTAAAAAACATTTATTCAGAAAAAGAGTAAACAATATAAAAAGTAAACAAGTCCAAACTTTCTAGACTCACTCTGCAGTTTCCAAGCTCCTCAGCTGACAGGATTATGGTTCCACATGTCTTCCCAGGTATGCCCCTGTGGAAACAAAACACTGTGATTCACACTGTGAACGGCAGCACACGCAGTCCACTGGACAGTTCTTAGTAGCTTGGTAACAACAGAAACTTAAGGGCTTTTTTTTTTTCGCAGTGGAAGAGTTCGAAGTGTTCAACAAGCCTGAGTTAWGGGCCGGAAACAGATACGGCGTTAGACTTGAGCATTTAGTTCACATCACAGATTTTCACATTCTCTACAGGCCTGAGCCAAATACTCAGAACTTCAGTCACTGACATCATTCTTTCACATACAAAGGCTTTTAATAATATTCTTCAGAACTGAGTCACACCTCATGGAAATTACATCATCGAAGGAGGAGATATTAGCTCACTTATCCAGGTGATCCAACACAAGGAAGTCCTACAAGCTCAGATATAAAATATTATGTGTCTGATTGTGTTGTATAAGAGCGAGGTGTGATAGTCCTTCAAGAACTTGCTGTTCAACTTAATTACAGTACTTTAATCACAAAATAAACTGATTGTGCATGCATTATAAAAATATTCTAAATATCTTATAAATATCTTGTGAGATGCATTTAAGGCTCAATCTAAATTACGTGTCTGTGGCTGATATTTTCCAGATTCGTAGAAAATTCAGCAAATTTGAAAAAAATGGAGAATTATCGCGAGAAGCTTTTTTTGTCATCAAATAAACAGTTTCAAAACGAGTTTTCTTTTTCTTTTTTTTTACAACTCAGGGTCCCTGCCAAGGTCAAGCCATTTCTCTCACATTCAGACTTTGAGAAAGCGACTCCCACCTTATTTTCTTTTAGACGGATTATTGTAACTGTTTTCTTTAGTGTCAGCCAGTTTCTGCTCTTTTGTCTACAGCTGAAACTGCTGCAGCTCGAGTTATGAAACACAAGCGAGACTTCGTCTCACCTGTCTTGCCTTCTTTGAGCTGAGTCCTAATTCATGTTAGAACYAAGTTGAAGATTTTATTGTTTGCTTTTAAGTCACTGAACGGGTTGGCTTCTTCTTACTTGTCGATTCTCCTAACTCAGTTCCTCAAAGGTCACTGAGGTCAGACAAGCAGATGCTCTTGAACGTCCCCAGGAGGACCAGATTAAATCTGACAGGTGAGGCTGCCCTTTCACATTTAGATGYCACCAAACACTTAAAACTCATTTAAATACTCAATTTTATTCTGAGGAATTTAAACTAAACCAAGTTATGATGTCAATTACTTTCCTTATTACTAGTGATGTTCGAMATACCACCAATTTCCTTTCTGATACCAAATAAAACTCAGGCTATCAGTGATACTGATCTGATWCYAATACTTKGGGCAAATRCACCTAATGTGTCTGATAAATCTTTAAAACGTCAATTATTTCAAATAGGTGAATCATAAAGCATCCAATACATCAGAGTCATTTATATATTAATTGTAAACTCAGAAGTATGCTGATGTTGCGTCCTCATTTACAACATAACTGAGCTGAAACAACAAAAAAAACAGAGAACACAATCAAATGAAATTTGTGAAAATTGTGTTTTAAACAACAAAAAATTGAAGTCAAATAATAAAACCATTACAATGAATAATTTTTAAATTATCAATAACTACTATAAAAATGAAAACTTGTGTCTTCATTTATGTTGTANATTAACATAAAAAATACTGAACAAGTATCATCTACAGACTGAAAACTGTTTGATTTCACTTTATTATTTTTTACCACAGACTAATAAATATATTGTTTCTAAATGTTTATAAAGCTATTTTAGTAGCATTTTATGTATGGCTCATAATACAGTTTTGCTGAAACATATTTTTTATTCAACAATCGCAAAAAGAATGACARCGTTTCTTTAGCTGACAGTTTGGCTGCTCTAATGAACACAGCTTCTTTCCCACTACCTTCATTAAATGTTAAAAGCCATAAATGCATGCTCTCTTTAGCGTAATGTAAGATAAAACTTCTGGGCCACAGAGTGGYTTTGATCCCCGTTTTTGCCTGCAGCACATTTTGATTTTGAAGCTCAGCAAGTTTGAATTTGTTTACCGCTAGTTGCCACCATTAAATCATTAAAACATACCTCAGCACCAGCTGGACTAAACAAAAACTGGGAGAATACATCATTTTTAAATAGCAATATACAGATAATTTATATGAAACATTACAAATTTCAGTCAAAACGGAACAAAACACATTTCAATTGATCAATCTTTCAGTGGCACTCCAGCTGTGGACACATCATCTTTATATATAAAGAGCAGAATTACAAGTGAGCCCTGCTGGGACCGAAGCAGGGGTCCAATCATCTGAAGGTCAAACGTGTTGCAGATCCTCATCAAGCTGTGACAGCTGATCTGACTAAAACTACACAGAGTCCCATCCTGCTGAAGCAGAGAGCGTTTTGGAACTACAGCAGCAGAGGTTTGCATTATTAACAAAGTCAGTCTGAATAACAACATCGCAATAACGGGACTTTAAAGTCTGGATTATGCCGGGGGATCGATTTAGAAGTAGAGTGCGTTCTTCTTTTCTATCTGCCTGAGCAGGAAACGGTTGCATTCTTTTCAGTTTCTGCAGCTCTAAGTATTTCCAGTAAGTTCACTCAAAGTTCCCAGGGCTGTAACGCATGTAGTGAAATGCCCCATAAAAGCAAATGTGGCCCCCGAGGTATCATCTTCAATCAATACCACAATACAAGTGACCAAAGCGTTGAGCCGTAACTGCTGCATAATGTTTAATGAGGCAATAGTTAAAACGAAGCCCGAGGGCAGACRCACTTAATTCTCAGGCTTTTTCTTTAAGGTCCAGGGAGACTGGTCTCAAGGTGAATTAACTGTCCTTGAATTATTGATGCTCGACTCCGAGCCTCCACCGTGCAGCTCAATGATTCCTCAAAGAGCCAGTAAAATGTTCACCAATAAAACCAGTAAACCTTGCCCACTCCGCAGGTCAAATGATCAGATTTGAGGTCACGGTGATGGYTGGCACCGCCATGAAAGAGGGAAATAATATCCAGTGATCGGTTCATTTTCAGCTCCAGATGCATCTCGCTGCTCTAATCTCGGCTGCTGATAAAGTGAGCAAGAAGCAAAAGGCCAACGTTCTTTTAAATTAGTTATGCATTATTGAGCACGGCATTTCCTCTGACACTTACTTGTTAACGTGAGGTGCAGGCACGAGCTGAATGAATAAATACTTTCCACCTGTTACGGTATCTGTGGTGCAGGAATTCCTTTTATGGGGTTTGTGCTAAAATTTGTATTTTGCTGGTATCAGTGGTCCTGCACGCCGAAGCCCCGTTCCCCTTGCATTAATTCACTGACAAATCTTCACTGATGATGAAATGGTTTGAAATGGAATGGGGTGGATCTGTTTTCTGTACGTGAGTGAACAAGGTCTACTCAATGTTAAAAGGAGAGTCAGCTGGTGACATTCTAGCATTTCAATATTGAAATGACTCCAATCATACGTGTAGCATTATGCCGTAATGTAAACTTCAATGTTTTGAGTTACATCAGCACTTATTCAGTTTGAGCCTAAAAATATCATGTTTTCTGTTTTATTCTGCAAGGTTTAGTGAGACTTTTTTCAATAAAGGTTTTATTTATTTACTGAAAATACAAAGGAAAAGGTTGAAGGAGACATATGATGCTCTTAATTTTTTTTTCACATTTAAATCATTCAGTTGGGGGTCTATATAAAGTGGAACAACAATTATTTGATCTGAATACCTTCTTATTGTAACTCCACAAGCCCCTGTTTCCCCCATTTTCTGAGGTGCGTCTCAGATCAACTCATTTTGAGGCTGTTTCTTTACATCCAAATGAGGCGATTCACACCCCGCCCTCTCCAGCTTCTGGTTTATTCTAGTTTGATAGAGGGGTTTTACGACTATATGGTGGAGCAGAAACTTTTTATTTACAAATTAATCAAAAGATGTCAACAAGGAAACACTTTTCCATCCAGCCTTACATGTTGGAGCCAGAGTCTGACCCAGAACCAGAGGAGAATGAAAATGATGAAATTGTAGTYGGTAATKCCARATCTTATTTGGCAGTTCTGCTACAATTAAATTGATGTAATAGTTCAAAAAAACATAATAGAAAATAGAAAAAATCTGAAGAGGTTGAAAATTATGACTCTAACAAAATATAAAGAAACCTACTCAGCACCAGAAGAGATTAATTCAACTTTTCTGCACTCCTTGAGAAGTTCAAACTGCAATTTAATGGCTAAAAAGTGGATTTTGCAGGATCAAAATCACAATGGTTTATTAGAATCAAGGGAACATTAGCAAAGGTGTAGTAACACCATCTAAGGGTTTGGTGCAGAAAGTGTGATGACAGCCTGTTGTTTTTTGAACGATTACGTGATATTAATGCAGGTGAGCAGAGACTGAAAACCATATGCTAAAGAGGGTGTGAAGCTTAACACCATTCATTGGCCCATAATTCATGAAATCCTTTACAAATTTCTGTTTGCAACCTACAGACTCTAAGCTATAGACTTGTCCAATGCCAGTGCAGACTGTGCTGCATGAAGATCTCATATTTACAGTCTGATTACCATCATGTCTGCAGTTCCCTCTTTTCAGCTGAAACCTGACTGATCAAACAAAGGTTTCTGAAGAAAACAAACAAGCAGAGACAGAAATGAAACAAGGCCTTGTAGCAGACCGCTTTTTACTGAGGGRGAAAAAATAACTGAAGGGGAAGAAATAATGTCGTGCTCCTTGCTGGCAGTGAAACTAATAGTGAGCCACAGCTGTCTTGACAGATCCCTGGTTTGATCAACTGAATTGAAAGAGATCAAGCAGCATACTTCAGCATCACCACAATTACCTGACCAAAGATCCAGATCCAGATACTGCTGGAGAATAGCAATGAGAACACCGGTTTTCTCTTTCTACCACGTTCTGGTTATTTACTCATTTAAAACAACAAGCTCCAATGAAAACAGTATGTCCCRTTTAACATTATGACTATCTTGAATGGCTTATTTAAAATAACTTTCT